GAAGGAAGGGCAAAGACATCCGAAGATCTCTTAAAACTGGGGCAAAGTTCAGTAAGCTCAAAATGAATTCGAAAGTTAATGGAATGAGTTTTTGAAAAAAAAATGCTAAATTAATGTTTAGAATTGTTTGAATATTCGTTGTTTGGATATTGTTACTCCATTTGTTCAATACCATTTTTAAGGACATGGTTTGAATTTATTCCTTTGCCCATTTGTTTTTGTACCAGAATTACTTCTCATTGATTACCTTTCTCTTAATTCACCTTGTGCTCTTTGATTTTTACATTCTAAGAATAAATCGAAAAAATGTTTGGTTGCATTACATTTATCATGATTTGAAATGATAATGAATGAATGACAATGCGCATAAAAGAGTCCTGCATTCCTTTGAAAAGAAATCTAATATGATAAGGGAAAAAATTAAGAAAATGTATAAACCTAAAAAGATGATTTGAAAAGACACATGGTGTGACCAAATGATGAATATGGTAATGGATTGGCTAACAAAATGAAGAAAGGGAAAAATTTGAAAATATGATATGACCAAGTGATGAATATAGGGATGAATTGATCAACATAACTTGTGAGTTATGATCGAATGATAAAAATAATATGGATCAATGGGCAAAATTTGTTTTGAAATGGTTAGTACTGAGAAAACTATGATTAGTAACCAAGTAATGGAGGATAAAATTTGTTTTAAAATGGTTAATGCTGAGAAACCTATGATTGATAACCAAGTGATGGAAGATAAATTTATTCTGAAATGGTTAGTACTGAGAAACCTATGATTGGTGACCAAGTGATGGGGGACAAAATTTGTTTTGAAATGGCTAATACTGAGAAGCCTATGAATAATGACCAAGTGATAGAGGACATAATTCGTTTTGAAATGGCTAGTGCTAAAAAGCTCAAAATGGTAGAGTCTCGAGATCCATGTTATCACATTTAATTAGAATTTCATGACATTGACATATGCATTACATACATTGCATTTGCATTGTTGTTTAGGGAATATTTCAAATTTTAGTTTGGCCATGCACTTGCATTATGCAGTAAACGTTTGACTCATGGTTGAAAATATGATATTTGTAGTATTGTGAAGAGCTAGATTGTTGCATTTGCATCATTAAAAAGGTATTTGCATCATTGATCATGACATTCATTATATAAAAAATTTTGATTTTGATAAAAGTTTGAAAGTCATTTGAAAAAGAATTTTGAATATTTTGATGAAGTCTTTTGAGACAAGATTGTGAATCCTTAAATGAAAACCTTTGAATTTTTGAGTTCTCAAATGAGTAATCTTGGAGTTTTCAAATGAGAATTTTCATAACAATTTTTTATCCAGGGGACTCGATCGCTAGACTTGGTGAATATTTTCAGAGTCGCCACTAATCTTTTTGGATGATGTGATTGGCCACCCAAAAAATCATCTTTTAATAAAAATCTTAAAATTAATTAAGATTTACTAAAAGAAGTTTAGATCTGCGAAACCAAGGTTAGGTTCAGGAGTATGGTTATGAGTAAGGAAGGTATTAACACTCTCACTTCACCCGTTCGAAGAATAGTATCAATCAAACAAGTGTAATCCTATAATTTTGATAATGTGATCCTTTTTTATTTAAATAATTTCCTAAAATTTATTTAAAATATTTTTTTGTGAAATCATTATTATTATTATTATTATTATTATTATTATCTTGTATTCTGTAAATTCTCTAATACTTTGTCAAAATTTATAGAAAATCATTATTTAAAAAATATTTCGAGAAAATTAACTATTCATAACATTCTCGAAATATCATCATAAGATATTTTATTTATTTGTTATAAAAAGAATTTTAAGAACATCCCGACTTTTTGATGAGTTCCTAAAATTTCTTAAACAAATTTTAAAATTAACTCGACTCTTTGGTAAAATCTTAAAAATTTTAAATAAGTTTTAAGATTATCTCAACTTTTGATAAGATCTTAAATAAAAAACCATTTTTTTTTAGTTAAAAGAAATAATTAATTAATTAATCTTTACTATTATTATTTTTAAAATTTTTGTTATTTATTCTTTAATTATTTTTTTATTATAAAAAAAATTTAGATTATCTCGACTCACTAGTAAAATTAAATATTAATATTTTGATAGTATTAAAGAAAATCAAAGTCTTTCAATTTTTTATTTTTTAAATATTCAAAATATCAATTATTATTATTTTTAATTTTTAATTTTTATTATTGTTTTACATTGTCTAAATCAATCTTTGTTTTAGTAAAAATAATTTTGTATTATCTTCACTCTATAGTGAAATCTGAAAAATTATTTTTACTTGCAACAATTAAAAAAAACTTAACTCTTTCAGCTTTTCCTAAAAATTACATTTAAAATATTTATTTAAACAATTTATTTTTTTATTTATTATTTTTATTTTTTTATTATTTATTTAGCAAAAATTATTTTTTAAATTATCCCAATACTTTGATGAAATTTAAATAACATTTTTGTTTGTAATAAAATTTATTTCCCTTAAATAGTTATTATTATTAATTTTTTTTTTTTGCATATTATATTTTTTAAGTCTTTATTTTATTTTGTTTATTTATTTCTAAAAAATTATTACTAGTAATAATATAAAACAACAATAATAATACTAACAATAACATCATAAAAAATCAATATAAAAAGATAAACATAAAAATTAACATAAAATAAATAAAATCAAAAATCAAAACAAAAAAAAAAAGAAAAACCTACAAAATGGGTTGGTCAGGGTGCAGGTTGACATGCGGATCTTGCGCAGGTCGAGCACGGGTTGGATGCCCAAAACGGCGTCATTTGGAATGCTTACAAATAGGCCAAAATCATTTTTTTTGCTTATTTTCTTCTTTCCCCTCTCTCTCTAAAAAAATGACATGCGGATCTTGCGCGGGTCGAGCACGGGTTGGATGCCTAAAACGGCGTCATTTTGGAATGCTTACAAATAGGCCAAAATCATTTTTTTTTCTTATTTTCTTCTTTCCCCTCTCTCTCTAAAAAAATTAGATAATGGGTTGATTTGTACACTTTATGTATTAATTAAGGGTTAACTTACAGATGTGTTGACTAAATATCTCAGCAGTGTAATATTTCAAGAAATTATTTTTAAGCTGAGAATAAAAAATACATATTCACCAGCTTGAGGGGGAGTATGAAAAGACATTTATTTACACCTAGTTGTAATCTTGTAATCTATGTATTTATGTTTGTATATTTAGAATTAAGTGTTTATATCCTTAAAATTAAGGACAAAAATTAAGATAGATAATCTCTAGGATCAATTTTTAAGAAAATTTAATTTTCTAATTTAACCCTTATTTGGTTGTATATAAACATAAAATTTTTGTATAATTCCTAATGAATAATTTTTTAACATACATTCAGTTTTACTTTTTATTTTTTACACAATTTTATTTGTTAATTTTTTCACATAAAGTATAAAGATAAGACCACAAATCATCAGCTAAACAAACCAACCCATTACAAGAACCAACGAGACGGAAACATGGGTTGCGGCATTTGTTGTTGAAAGGAAAGTCTAGCCGCTTGTACCCATCTACTTCTTCATTGTCGAAACGGAAAGAATAGGGCTCTTCGCGGGGTTTCAGGGAGTCTGGTGCTGCCCCTGAACATATCCTGAAAAGAAGGAGATTGGTGTTGTTGGAAGAGATTGTTTTTGCTACGTGAGTCGAAATGAAGGTATGCGTTTTAATAATGGCATTCCAGGTTTTGCAAACTGATGTGCATTTTACCAGAGTTTTGATGGGTAGCTTGTACAAGATCTCCTGGATAATTTCTGATGGCAAATGATCTGACATTTTTGTTTCTTTGTTTTGATTTAATTGCAAATAGAAACTTTAGGGAGAAATAGAGAAGAATGTTAATCTAAACCCTAACTGAGAAGAAGAAAATGGCTTAAAACCCTGGTGATGGGTTTTGAATCTGTTCTTGCTATATCTGTTCAAGTGCAGGGTTTTAAATCTGTCCAAGTGCCCATTGCCCCATGATATGCTTTTATTGGTATGATGGAAATTATGTTGCCCTATGCCGGTAGGTAAAATAAATGTCTAAATAACTTACGCTCAGGTCCATTCTGCAATCAGCTCCCAAAATATAGGTAGTACTAAAGGAAAAAATGCAGTTCCAAAAAGCAAGATTTTAACTGAAATAATAATTAATAAAAAAAGTGTTCTTCATTACTTCATGGTTTTCCTTGTCAAGTAAGACAAGACTCCACATTTTACAACACTTTGAAGTAAACCATGTTAATTTGCTTTCATAAGCAAACGAATATGCAAAAAGCTTGCTTTTACTAGTTGTTAATTACGTAGAGGGTCTAGTCCTACTAAACCGGTACAAACCCTGCTTCCTGCCCTGTTCTTATGGATTACTTCGTTGTTGTGACTTGAGGATGTTGGTTGCGTTGCTAGAGCCTATAGGTTTGGGTGGAAAATTGAAATGAAAGGTAAGGTTCTTGATAAAGGGGGCCTAGATTCTTGTCTTGAAATGGCAGCCTAAAATAGTTTATGAAGTATTTATATCCTCAGGTTATTAGGGTTTTAAATTTTCAATTCTTGGGGAGTACTAGAAACTTGGCCCATTAGAACGAGAAACACTAACGCCTTTTTAAAGGCCTAAGTTTAAACAAATATTTGGACTTTAAGTTCTAGTCAAATTGAATATCAGGTTTGGAAAATTGTTTAAGCTGGTTTAATGGCCAGAATCTTAGCAACCAAATCAAATCTAAAATTTAAACTCGATTGAAATTGGTTAAATAAGTAAATTGTGTTGGTATAAATTAAAAACAAAGGTAAAAACTTAATGAAGTTTAAACAAAACAAATTTTTTTTTAAAGCTCAAATAAGAAAAAAGTTACAAAATGTTAAAATTTAATCTTTAAAAGAATGTCAATGGTAATTATATAATTCAATTGATTTAAATTATTTTCTATAATTTAATACATTTACCATTTGGATTGGACTCTATAATGCCCATTGTCCATTGAACAACAATGCTTCTAACCTCATGCGCCAAGAAAAACTCTGGCATCCATTGGCAAAATATAGAGCAGCTATAAAACCAATGCCTGAAAACATAGGGCATGTTCTCAGGGATGGAAAGGTACTTTAGAAGAACAAGACCTCATTTGCTAGAAGAGGAACTAATGATCATTTACTTCCAATCGATGGATGCCACAATCATCTTTTTCAAGGTAGCAAATACGGGTAATAATCTCTAATGCCTCAAATCCCAATGGCCTTAATCAAATTTCTTGGAAACATCAACTGAAAATATAATCCATTAGAAAGCTATACTCCATAAAAATAATATGCCATCATTAAATAGCTCGAGCAATATAGTTGTATCTTCTTTGAGAGTTAGGAGCGTGCTCTTTCAGCTTCAATCTTTTAAAAATGGATTGCAGTAATCATGGATGCTAAAACCAACTTTCACAAGCAAAGGAATGGCCTTGCTATGGCTTTAATAGTTTTCACAAGAGCTTGACTGAAATGCTGAGCAGAGAACTGTATATTATAAGCTTGAATAAGAAAGCAGTGGGAAGTGGGAACCAGAAAGTCTGAAGTCTATAAATCATCCCATCACCGTCACCGTAGCTATCATTTTCACGAGCTCCCCTCCCTCTGTTGGAGTTCTAGAGGTCATAATTCCACATCCCATGATTGTCATTACCATGATCAAAGATGCCATGGAACTTCAATCGTCTTGGTCAACTTGTTTTTGAGTAAAAAAATGTCTTGGTCTATAAAGCACAAGAACATCAATTGTCTTGGTCCATTTGTTTTTGAGCAAAAATTTTGTGTTGGTCAATAAAGCAGCAAGAACAAAGAGAAACAACACATAAAGTCTAAAGGGAAAAGAACATTCCTTGAAATATGTAACCTGTAAAATATCCTGTACATCAAGCAATAGCTCATGTGGCTGGCTGCTAATTGTCTTCATCTTTACAACAATTTGGTCCCAAAACTCAAAATCAACAAAACCTACATAATGGAGAGTTCTATAGACAGTTCATCTTTTATATTCTGACGGTGAAATTTTTCATAGCTAATATATGCGATAAGATTCCAAAAACTTAACGAGTTTTTTTCTTCTTTGTTTTCAATCAAGATGCTTTGTTGATTCCGTTGTTTACGGGACTCCAGTGAACCAAAAGAAGTCAAAGTCGTTGCTCATGAGAATCAAAGTCGATCAAGAAACATGGTCCACCTTTTATCAATGCGTGATTAACGGGAAATGCTAATGACACGAGAATATGAGAAACAGATGTCAATGAAGAGAATAAATCTGAAAAAAGATGCAAGTAATAAAGCACAATATGAAATCAAGGGAAGTTTGTAATTGATGATGAACGCAAGAGGACAATTGCAGTGGGCAAACAAAATGAAAAGGCATAGCCTCAGCTTACAAAGAGTGTTCCGAGCCCAAACATGCAAAATCATAGATTTAGCAAAATTTGGCTCGTATTTATTAGGGAATTGTATTACATAAAGGCGCTTAAGCAAGTATGAACGATCCTCTCAAGAGCATTTAGCCATGTATGCCTCCCATCCTTGAAGGCGGTATTCACCAGCTGCCGCGGCAGGGTTTACTGCCTTAATGATTCCACGACCCACAATTATTATGTCGCTACCCCTATCAAATATTACCTGAAGCATCATTGATCTAAGTTATTAAAGCAGAAATAAGTTGGTAAAATGCCACTGGAAAAGAAACATCTCTTGCATGCCTTATCCACATCATACAACTGATTTGATTAATGATTTTGACACTGATAGTTGGCTGTATATAATGCATTTTAAGGGGAAATATTCATGTTTGGTGCGCAATGAGCTGACAGAGTTGTTTTCATTCAACTTAGTTGTTTTCTATACAGACAGTCAAATGCATTTTCCTGGAAAGTTCTTATTCACGTGACAGCTTTACGGTAGAAGAGCCAAATTGTAGAACTAGTGATGATGGCATGAAATACTTACAGAATATGGAGTGTTATACTGCTGGCCAAGGGCATCACCACCCTTTACCATTTGAACTCCAGGGGTTGCCTGAATGAACGCTGGATTTACTGGTGCCCCAGGCCATGATGCTGGATTGACTGAGATGAAACCAATGACAAAATCAGAATGTTCTTCAGCAATTTTAACTGCAGCAGCTGTGTAATCTCCCTTGGCAAGGTTACCAGCAGAGCTCATTTCAGCAAGTAGCAACAGGCCCCTACCACGAGGCAAACCCTAAAACAATTCCCCAAAATATAAAGTTATGAGAAAAATTAGTTTTAACTCCTTATCTTAAATCTAGCTAAAAGTTATATCAGGTAATTATAACAAACCTTCAATTTCAGTCCATCCACAATTCCAGGACCAGAGATTATGTGTGCATTAACAATATCAGCCCAATCCAATATATGGAAGATACCTCTGCAAAGAACATGCCAGAAGCACTTAGGTAACAGTAAAGGCACCCAACAAAAAGGAACACTTGGGATGCAGAAACTGAATATTACCCTTCATACTGCATTGTCACTGTGTTACCAATGTCTGCAAATTTACGGTCTTCAAAGATCAAAAAGTTATGTCTGTCTGCGATCTTCAGTTGAAATGTTGAATAAGGCATTGTTAGTTCAACTTAGAAATAACTTCTCTATTAACTATAAGATATGGGCATAGCTTGTGACATGTAGGCAAAAGGCATTTAGCATAAGCATTTGGATATACCGCACGAAGTTTAGAACCAAAATCAGGAGTAAAATCAGGCAATATGTCAACATGGGTCTTCAATAGACAGATTTCTGGTCCAACCTGCATAAAAATTCAAACATTGAGTACGAGAAACAAAAATAAACCAACCAAACAATTTTATCATATTACAAACATTAAATAAAGAAAAAAGACCAAACAATCTTTCCTCTTAACACACATCCTTTTAAATTCAGGTCTGACTTTAAAGTTGAACATAAAATTTAACCTTGTTTCCAGCCCCACAATATTAAGCTTAACCACAACTCAAGTCGTATGACAATAACATGAACAGAAAAGAATTTTTTTAGCCATTGGATGGGCGATTTGATTGATTGGTTTTGAACTTTCACTGTCTAGCTAAGCCTTTTTAAGCCACCAGGCAAGAAGCTGAAGTCATGGTCAGGTAATAAAAATTTGGCTTCAAAACAGGCCCCAGCCTACCCCAAAGAACAATTTGACATGGCTAAATATGAGCCGGACGAACCTAATGAAGTCTTGTCTGGTAAGGATGAGAACAAGCATGATCCCCAAATGCTGTAACTATGCCTTAGTTTCCAAGCATAAATAACATTCATCCTTGATGACATCAAAGTATCCTAAGACGGTAAAACTCAAAAGAAATTATCTGAAACAAACTTCCTCCTGTCTCAGCCTTTATTCCCCTAACTTTTAACTGCTTTAAACTCTGGCCTATACTTTACATGTTTTGTCCTAATTGATACTCTATTATATAATTCCCATAGATTTTCCTTAAAAAAGGTATCATGCCAGGCTGCCGCGCCCAGCCAAAAAATTTTAAAGGAAAAAACATCGGCAAACCACTACTTTTTCAGGAAAAAAGAAAATAGTAAAAGAACACAAAGCAAATCACACTAAACATATATTATACCCAATAAAAAAAAAAAAAGAAAACTTATTTTCCATCAGTTTCCCAAGAAAAAAAAAATTCTAATTTCCTAGAAAAAAATCATCAAAATGAAAAAGAAAACCGATTTCCCAATTCCCACGACTCTCCCTAGAAAATTCCAACTTTACCAAGAAAACAAATCAAACCAAAACAGAAAACCCATTTTCCATCATTTTCCCTAGAAAATTTCCCACCTTTACTGACAAACCAAAACCAATTTACCTTCTCAGCAATATCAAGCAACTCAGCGGCCGTCCCAACATCAGCAGCCAAACAGAGATTACTCTTTTTCTCAACCATAACCTCAAACAGCTTTTTCCCAGTTGGATTCTTAGCTAACTTAGCCCTTTCTTCAAATCCCAAAATCTTAACTCTCACTCTCTCAATCTTAGGCACAGCCACTTTCTTGTTTTCCTCCAAAAACCTCATGACCAAACTCTCCATGTCTTCCTCTAACTTCCCTTTGGCTCTCAAAACCTTCACCATCTCTGTTAAAGTAAACAGAGCATGAAGCTTAATCCCATTCTCCTCCAACGTCTCCCTCCCGCCTTGTTCTCTATCTATAACCACGACAGCGTCCGTTACGTTGATTCCTAAAGCCCGAAGCGGCGTTGCGGTTTCAAGAACCGATGCTCCTGATGTTACAAGGTCTTCCACCACCAAACAAACTTGACCCTTTTCGTAAACGCCTTCGATGGACTTGGCTGTGCCGTAATCTTTCACTTCTTTGCGGCGCATGAGCATGGGGATGGATGTGTCGAGAGAGATGGAGGTGGCCATTGGGAGGGCAGTGTAAGGGACGCCACAGATGAGGTTGAAGGGTGTGTGGGGAGGGAGAGCGGAGAGGAGGGAGTGGGAGATTTGACGGAGGAGGGAAGGGTAGGAGACGATGAGGCGGAGGTCTATGTAGATAGGGGAGTAGATGCCGGATTTTAGCTTGAAGTTGCCGAATTTGACGGCGGAGATTTCATGGAGTTGGAGGATGAGGGACTCTGTTGATGACATTTTTGTTGCGGCTCTGGTAGTGATGGTGGTGATGGGGGTGAGTGGAGTGTAAGTGGGAGGAAGCAGATCAATTGTTTCGTGCTTTAGAAAGCAGAGTTATAAAGAGGTTTAAAGGTTTTTTTTTTTTTTTAAAGAATAATTTAAAATTATTTAATATAAGACATGTACTTTGTCGATTTTTAAAACTTTAGTCATTTTAATATTATTTTAAAAAAATTAATCCTTATACATTTTTAAGAGTTTTAATCTAATTATTAATAATATTAAATTTTATCCATAAAATGATTGATACGGCTACTAACATGATATTTTCATTGGTTCTTAATATTGTTATTATTGATGTGTATTATAACAACGGTCATGTGGATTACCAAAAATTCACATCAATATTAATAGATTATTCCAAATATTACTTAACATTAACAATTCACAATATCATTAAAAATTCCTAAAAAAAAAAACACATAAAACTTTGAAACCATAAAACTAAAAAACCTAACATCCTCAATTCTTAAATTCTTCGTTTCTCATTTGTTCTTAGAAATCGTGAAACTTAAATTAGAATTTTGAAATTGAAAAGTTGGAAGGAATTGATTAGAAATAAAAGAGGGATCGATTTCGATGAATCAATAAACCTTATGGAGAAATGTTCAATTTCTTTCTTTGGATTGGAAATGAGAACAAGTGCGAGTGATGAATCGTTTTTCTCATTAGTTTATAGTAAAACTTTGTTGCGCTTTAACTACAATCTCTTAGTTTTATCTTGTTGATATTTTTACAAAACTAAAAAAAAGAATTGTTTAAAAATCCTAAGCCCTGGTTGCTACATTGAAAAGATTGGGTTGATAGATTTATATTCTTTATTAGAATTGTTTTTTAAATATTGGGTTTACAATGTTACATTGATTGTGGTTATATACAATGATTTCTTATTAGATGCAGTGATTTCTTATTGTAACATCTTGGACTATCTTTTTTGCATTTTGATTGGGTTGAGCTTTTTTGAAGCTGAAGAAAAAATAGAGAAATCGATGAAAAACTACAACAAATCCAAGAATGGTAACTTTCTTTTTTGGTTTAAATGTATATTTAACATTATTGAGTTTATTGTTTACTAAAAACTGTTAACCCCTAAATTGACAATTGTTTTTATAACTTTGATATAATGGTCGAATTTTAAATTGACAACAGATTCAAATTTATTTTAGTAATCTATGATTATGGAGGTGAGTTTGTGTTCTGTTATTGCCAATTGAAGGCTCATCTAGTCATTTCAACAAGTAATGATAATCTTAAAAAGCATTTCTTTGGTTGCAGCAACTATTAGGTCTATCTGAAATAATCATGAATATCAAATATTGATATTGAGTTTAAAGCGTGGTCTTGAAGTTTGATTATCCATAAGATTATGCTTGGCATGATAATAGAATCTATAATTGAATTGTATGATGTTAGTAAAGAAATTGGTGTTGATTTTTTGCTTGGCATGATAAGCTAATTGATTTATGGGATGCCAATAGAGGTTTAAAAAGAGAAAATTCAATTTTGAAGAATGAAAACAAAGCATTAGGAAGAATAAATGTTGAGTTGAAGAGTGATTATGAATGTAAAATAACAATATTTAACAGTGATGATTTATTTGACAAAATTGCTATACTAAAAGCTGAGAATGATGAATTACAGGCAAGATTGAATAATGTTATGTTAGATGTAAAAATGGAAGTAAAGTCAAAGAGGTTGTACAAAATGGGTTTGATGTTTAGTTTGTTAATGTTGTTATATTTTGTATTTGGAGTGGGTAAGGATGATAAGGTTAGAAATGATATGTTGGCTTTGCCATAAGTAATTATATATGTATAAATGATATATATTGTCTAATGATATGCAAACTTTTCCTGTTATTATAGTGTATATATAATGCAGAATTGTGTTTTGGTTAATTATAGTACACTTACTTGCATTTTAATTTCTTTCATGTAATATCTACTATGAATAACACAAAAGTAATTATGATCAATTGATACCACCAAACAGAATATGATTACAACCATAAAGCTATATATTTTCATTTCCTTTTGAAATCATTAACCACAATGTTTTCCAAAAGACATTGTTGGTTGTATTTACAACAAAAAATGACCAAACACATTGGTACTTGCATTTCTTCAAACTTGTAACTATAAAACCAGACAAATACATTGGTATCAAGCCTGGTACAAAAATTGCTAAATATTTTTTCAAAACCCAATCAATAACTATAGGAACTGTAAATAAAAAAGTCATCAATCTGGTTGCATAAAATGATAACATGTTTGCTATTATAAAACCTATAATTATAAAACCAAACAAGTACATTAGTATCAAGCCTGGTACAAAAATTTTGTTAATCCTTTGTTGCACTTCAAATATTGTAACTGTAAGATCTATAACCTAAAAAGTCAAAAATCTAGTTGCAAAGAATCTTTTTGGTCAATCTTTCTTTGAAATTGTGCAAGACCTTCTTATGTTGACATATGTTTTTGCAAAATTTTTATTGTTCCTTTGTGCCTAATAATAGAAAATTTAAAATAGTAAGTAAGATTTAATATATAGATGCAAAAATGGTGCTGTAATGATCAATCAGTGACTATTTTACCAACAATTTTTTCTATTAATGTATTGACCAAACATCATGCCCCCTTCCTATAATCAGCTCACCAGGCTTTCCAAGCTATATATATGAAATCCATACTGTAGACACCAATTTTGACTTATGTAATTTGTTTATAATAATAATAATATTATTATTATTATTATTATTATTAATTAATTTAAAAAAATAAAAAAATCTATTGGTTTCAACTCTGGCAGTCGAAATCAAGCTGCCAAAGTGATATTTTCTCCCTGATATTGTCTAACTTGACAGGATGAAATCTAGTGACCAAAAGTCACCAGACAGATTTACAAAATTTTTCACAAAAGAGATCCCATGAGATTTAGGATTTGCAAAATAAAATGAGAGAAAAAACAAGGAAGGGGAATATTGTCAAAACAAAAAATAAATCACATTCCTCTTTAACAGATGAACCAGCAGCAAATAAAAAAAATTAAAAAAAAACATCGAGAATGAAATCCTTGATCTATGAGGTTTAATATTTTTTTAAAAAAATTTGGCTTGAAAGAGTGTTTAAAAAACAAAAAAGATCAATTTGAAAATTTTTGAGAATTTTTTAAAATTTTTTGGGTTATTAGATTTTGGAAAATTTTGAATTTTTGGGCAACTTTTGAATTTTCTGGCAACTGAAATCTAGGAAAGTGGTCGGAATCTAGGTAGGGTTTGAATTTTTCGTGTCAGTTGAAGTTTTCAGCCATTAGTGCACGGTGATAACTAGCCAGAAACTGAGCTCCAAGGCTGCCGATAGAAGAGGTTGAGTTTTTAAAAAAGAAAGGCTTTAGGGTAGAGAGAGAGAAGGAAAAAAAAATTTAAAAAATTGAAACAGGCCTTTTATAGACACTCCAAAATGTCGTTTTAAGCGTTTAACCCGCACCCAACCCGTAAAGGATCTGCACGTTGACCTGCACACCAACCTAACCCGTTTCGTAGGTTTTTTTCTTTTTTTTTTAATTTTGATTTTGATTTTGATTTTATATTATTTTATTTTGTGTTGATTTTTATGTTTATTTTTTATGATATTATTGTTATTGTTATTATTGTTCTTTTATATTATTATTAGTAATAATTCTTTTAGAAATAAAAACTAAAATAAAATAAGGACCTAAAAAATATAATATGCAGAAAAAAATTAATAACAATAACTATTTAAGGAAAATAAAATTTTATTACAAGCAAAATTGTTATTTAAATTTCACCAAAGTGTTGGAATAATTTAAAAAATAATTTTTGCTAAAAAAATAATAATAAAATAAAAATGATAAAATTATTTAAATGAATATTTTAAATATAATTTTTAGAGAAAATTAAAAGAGTTTAGTTTTCTTTAATTGTTGTAAGTAAAAATAATTTTTCGGATTTCACCATAGAGTTGAGATAATCCAAAATTATTTTTACTAAAACAAAGATTAATTTAGACAATGTAAAACAATAAAAAAGTAATAATGAAAAAATAATCATAATTGATATTTTGAATTTTTTTAAAAAAATAAAATATTGAAAGAGTTCAATTTTTTTAATACAAGCAATATATTAATATTTAGATTTCACCGGTGAGTTAAGATAATCTAAATTTTTTATAATAAAAATAATTAAATAATAAATAGTAAATAATTTTAAAATAATCATAATAAAGATTAATTAATTAACTAATTCCCTTAACTATAAAAAATAATTTTTATTTAAGATCTTGTTAAAAAATTGAGATGATCTTAAAACTTGTTCAAAATTTTTAAGATTTCATCGAAGAGTTGGGATAATCTTAAATTTTGTTTAATAAATTTTTGAAACTCACCAAAGAGTCAGGATGTTCTTAAAATTTTATTTAAAACAAAGAAATAAAATATTTTATGATAAGATTTCGAGAATTTTGTGAATAGTCAATTTTCTCGAAATATTTTTTAAATAATGATTTGCTATAAATTCTGCCAAAGCTTTGGAAAATTTATAAACTACGAAATAATAATAATGTTAATTTTACAACAAAGAAATATTTTTTTTGAATAAATTTTAGAAAATTAAATTTAAATAAAAAAAGACCATATTATTAAAATTATAAGATTACATATGTTTAATTGGTACTGTTCTTCGAACGGGCAACATGAGAGTGCTAATACCTTTTTCATTCATAACCGTGCTCCTAGATCTAGCTCTGATTTCGCAGACTTAAACTTTTTTTAGTAAATATTAATTAATTTTAAGATTTTTATTAAAAGATGATATTTTGGGTGGTCAATCACACCTTGTAAAAAGATTAGTGGTGACTTTGAAAATTTTCACAAAGTCTAGCGATCGAGTCCCCTTAGACGAAAAATCGTTATGACAGCTTGGCAACTCTATTGGGGACACTTGAGAGTCAAGCAAAAAAAAATTAAACATTCGTCATCAAAATTTTGATTTTATGGTCTTTTTTATATTTAATTTTAATTTCTTATCTCATTT